CCCTGACTGCATGTGTATGACACATACATTCTATATACCTTTAGATGAAACACAATTCCCTGACTGCATGTGTATAACACATACATTCTATATACCTTTAGATGAAACACAATTCCCTGACTGCATGTGTATAACACATACATTCTATATACCTTTAGATGAAACACAATTCCCTGACTGCACGTGGATAACACATACATTCTATATACCTTTAGATGAAACACAATTCCCTGACTGCATGTGGATAACACATACATTCTATATACCTTTAGATGAAACACAATTCCCTGACTGCACGTGTATAACACATACATCCTTTAGGTATAGCAAGGAACACGTAGTATTCTCTGTGGAATTCTCGTTACTTGGTTATATCAGGGGAGTAGTTATTGTGAAACATTTCATCTTGGAAAAATCACTTGGTAGCAGAGAAAGCAATGGTTGCAATCAACTTCCAATTGAGTTCTTAAACTCCTAGCTATCATCTTCAGTTGTGCAAACTGTTGATGTACTATGCATTACATTTATTAGCACGAGCCATCCTAAACTGCATTAATTAAGCAGCTATCATCCGATATCTGATGTATATTTCTTATCGTGAAATTCTGCCCAGTAGCTCAGAAAATAAGGGTAACAAAGCTGTTTCAGTTCAGCTGCACTTACGATCAACAAATTCTCCCAACTTCAGATAAATGAGTGGTAATGATGCATTGTAGTGTATATACTGTAACTTACAACACCACCCAATAGCTAAAAAAAAAGCAAGGAGTGTTACTTTATTTCAGTCATTGTTGTGTTGACCAGATGAATTTTCTAGCAACAGATCGAGGCTAATCTCTACCATATCAATCAGGAGGTAATCATTGCCCCCTTGATGGAATTTCTGAGTTGTCTCTTGCTTCTAGATTGAGTGCTTCCTCATCTTATTTTTCCTGAACATTTAGATAAGTACTTTCAGTCTTTTTCATTTCATCTTCAAGGCCAGAGTTGACAAGGCAGCACATTCGTTCTCATGTTACTTGACAGTGTCCTCTGCTGGTTCTTGGTCAAACCATACGTTCATTGGTCATGTACAGATGCAGCTAGTTAACGATTACTACATGTTTTCATGTGCTCCTTAACTGGCCAGAGTTGACAAGGCAGCACATTCGTTCTCATGTTACTTGACAGTGTCCTCTGCTGGTTCTTGGTCAAACCATACGTTCATTGGTCATGTACAGATGCAGCTAGTCAACGATTACTACATGTTTTCATGTGCTCCTTAACTGCTATGACTTGCATGTTAATGGACTAACTTGTTAGAGTACAAGATGAAAACATGTGCAGCTGGAGCTAGGAGGAAGGGCTAAACCGACCATAACAAAGCCATACCCAGTCTCCAATTTGGTATTTGTTCCTTCACCATCTCTTCAGTTGTATGATGGCATTTCTTATCCGCTGAGATGCAGATGTGTG